ATTTCTGAAGAGAACACACCGCAGTAGAGTGAATTACCACGAGAACCTTCATACAGTGTGATCCCACATGCTGTTGGATTCTTCGGATTGACAATTCGTTTGAGTGAAAAACCGCATTTGGAGCACAGACAGCGAGCCATCTATGATCCAGCTCTCACTTCTCGTTGAAGGTGATAGTAATTTCATTCTTGTGTGGAAAGCTTAGTAGATGCCTAGAAACAATGTTTTTGTCACTGCTAACAGGTATGTAACTGCGAAGGAAGACTGAACCATTCCGGAATTTTACTTATTGCCATGAGAGGCCAGTGGCTCGGGTAGACTAATATCGTTGCACCTAACTGGAGTGCTTTAAAGTGGGACGTAGGGTACGCTCTCTTCGTCGTCTTTTCGTCGCCAGATTTGAATCTACTAGAACGTATGTGTGCTTGTTTTGGTCGTAAGGTATAGGAAACGGATGATTCGTCTGACCTCTAAGGCCTAAGAAAAGTCTTTTAGGACGTTTTAGGAATTATGGCTTTTCCTGTGTGATCATAAGTGCCTCCTTAACCAAGTGCTGTCGTTCTCATGTTTTAACTTTGGTACAAAGCTAGCCTCGATGTTGTTAACCCGCCGAGAAAGCGTCGAAATACATCCTACCTGGCCAGAAGTTGTATGAGATGTTTCGCATGTTGAGACTTTGCGATCGCGGTTTCATTGGCTCACTGAAACCAGAGCATCGAATGCTGCTTGACAAGCAGAACGTGACCGACCCTTTGAAGAACCACCTGTGTTCAGTTGATGGCACACAAGGTTTCGCACCAAAACCGGATCAGGCCGGTTTGCGTCGGAGAAGTGCAAGTAAGAAACTGCTTCATATGTGCTGTGGACAGGCCATACAGATAGATGGTGCTGTTTTACTAAATTTAAAATTTCCGTTTAATATGTGTATGCCTTTCACTAACTGCTATTTCCTGTTGAGGTGATGTTTGTGCACACACACAAACCTTGGTTAGAATTGTTTATACTTGCTGGTTGAGTATCTCCTTCTTCATTTAACCTTTTTTTCCACAGGCTTGTATCATTGGACTCAACAGACGAGCTTCAGGCGATTATTATGTCATTGATTCCACAAATTATGTCCAATTACGGTCTCCTGTGCTTCCTGTATTCAATTCTTCTGACTCACGGACTGGAGGATGTAAAAAATGGAATGGTGGGCGAGGCAGACACGCTTATCGATCCGACTTTTGGAAGTGCTAGTCAGTGTCTTCTTAATCTGCTGATTACCGGTCGGTCCAGTCCACACCTTTTCGATGGGGAGCGTATTCTGTCTGGATTCGGCAAGTTACTTTCTACTCTGCCATCCGTGTCCCCTTAGCATCACCTTTTTTCCTTTGCTATGCACCTACCATGCAATTACTGTGCAAGACAAGCAAATTAATATTCCCCTCGCTATCGCACTCAGCCTGCCTTCTACGTCCTATGGCTCAAGCTGGCACAACCTCCCTGCTTCGTCGCCGGCGATTGGAACTAATCATATGCAATGGCAAGGACACATGCTCATGTCGCGTCTATTTAGCACCGGATTTGCAACAACCAGTTGTCACTGCAAACACAGGCTTGCTCATTTCAGCTTCACAAGAATGGCCGATCTTTTCATACTTCCCATTCCTGCAGACGAGTCGGACTACGATCAAGCTATTTTTTATCCGCTATGTGCGACACTTGGAGAATGTAGGCAACAACACGCAATTTCAGGCTGATGACTTGCGTAGTAAAAGGTGATCGTTGAGACGCGTTTATTGATAATTTGACTTCTTGAAGCACTGGGTGTCAGAGACGAAAAGTAGCTGTTTCGTAAGCTTCAATCTCGATTTTTTTCTCCTGTTTCCTATGACGCAGATTTTGCGGTTCAATGTTGTCTTACTTCAACTCAAAACAGAATTTCCTGCATGCATACAAACAAGGTGAAGTACGCGACTTATCGTGAATAATGGTTTAGTACAGGGTGCGCCCATTTTCAAAATTAAGTTAAAGTGGCTGCGCATTCACCGCCAAACTAGTTTTGTGAACCTGTTATCGGCCATCAAATTTACTGGGTGCTGAAAGCTTTGAATTGTATGAATTTATTTATCGTAATTTCGGACTAGACGGTTGGGCGAAAATAGCTGCCATGGTGGATTACCTGCAGTCTTCCGGAACCCTAAATTA